GGGGATCAAGAAATCAGGGACCTCACCCTTGGTACGCAATGGGAAGACCGTGGTGTAGCGCGTGTAGTCGTCGACGACCAGCAGAAAGTACCGCTCGTGGCCCTGTCCCCGGACGCGGGCGGGGCCCCACACGTCCAAGTGAAGAGTCTGCAGGGGAGCCTCTGTGGGAGGGAACGAGGAGGAGTGAGGAGCGGCACGTTGCCGCCCCTCGACACAGGGAAGACAGGGAGGAGCAGGTGAGGGTGGTAGGGGAGGGAGAACTCTGGGAAGACCAGAGACAAGGAACCTGGAGTGCATGCCGCGAAGGCGCTGCACTGACGGGTGACCAAGGCGGTGGTGCCAGAGGACAGTCCTGTGCGACAGGGAGCGACACGAGCAGGGGGCCGACAGCTGACCTGACGCAGACGCAGACGCAGCTACCTGAAGGGACTTTGTGGTCAGTGTGTACAAGTCCGACCCCAGCTGCCGAGTAAAGGTAGCCAGGTGACGACCCGTCCGGGCACTCGTGCAGTGCGTCACACGCTCGTAGGCCGGGGTGAACTGGTGAACACCCGCGTCCTGGAGCGCGGAACCCGCCACCAAGTTCGTAGAGAACGAGGGGAGGTAGAGGCCCGACAGTGTGCCAGACGGGACAGCAGGACAGGGGAGGGCAGTGGTGGAGGTCGCAAGGACCGGACCCCCTGAGGGGTCAGCCAAGGAGACAGCAACCGGTCTAGGGAGCTGCTCTAGGGCAGTGCGGTCGCGAAAGAAACAGCGGGAAGCACCTGAGTCCAGTGTGAAGGTGTGAAGTGCCTCAGTGGGTGCAGTACCAGCAGACGCAGACGCACTAGCACCTAGGGCAGCAGCCTCACCAGGACCTGGACCAGCAGACGCACTAGCACCTAGAGCTGCAGACTCACCGGTCTCAATACCTGGGTCGGGCGGTACACTCAGGTAACAGTCACCCTCAACACTAATAGTCAATGCATACATAGCAGCAAGGATAGCATCATAATCAAGAGCAAAGATATCAATTCCCTTCTTAAGCAGATCAGCCCAGCGGGGCAGCTCAGAGGCGTCAGGGAACTGCTCGCGCCAGGCGTCGTCGAGGCGAAAGAAGCAGCGCTGTGCCGTGTGAAACCTCCCACAAGTCTGGCCAGTGCGGTCACCCGTGCGGATGACGTACGGGCAAGTACCCCCACCCCCAGACCCCCCACGCTGAGAGTACCACTCACGGAGCTGCTGGGGCGAGGGAGTCTCACTGGGACGCTGCTGCTGCTGCCTCTGGCCACCGCCGAACCCCCCCCGCTGTACCGCTCCACCGCGCCCGCCACCCGCTCCACCGCCGCCACTACTACCACCACCACCCCCACCACCTCCACCACCGCCGCCTCCACCACCCCCTGTGCCGCCACCGACCCCCCCACCACCCGCGCCACTCCCACCTCCTCCACCACCCCCGCCCCCTCCACCCCCTCCACCGCCGCCGCCCCCGCCTCCACCTCCACCACCCCTGCCCCCCTTGCCCCTGCCGCCCTTGCGCCTCCCACTAGGAGCAGACGCAGCCCCGACCCCCTCAGCTCCGAGGAAGTCGACAGCAGCAGCAGAGGCAATGGAGGGGAGGAGGGGGACGGGAGAGCACCCCTCAAAGAAGGGGGCGCGAGGGTCGCCACGAGAGGCACCTACAGCTACAATGCTCTTCTCAGCTGCTAGGAGTTCCTTCTCGAGGAGGTCGACAGTGAGGTCAGTGGGGGAGAGGGCTAGAAAGTGGTCCCTGACTGTGCGAAGGGAGTCGGGGAGGCGCGTGACAAGGTGGTACAGTGTGAGGTACATCGGGGGGGGGTTCTTGGCGAGGAAGTCTGGGGGGAGTGCGGCACGGTAGCGGAGGTCACTGGTACGGAGGTGGGTGATGAGGTCAGCTACAGTGGTAAAGGCGGACAGGTCGGGGAAGAGGTAGGACAGCGAGAGACGGCCTATAGCAGCAGTGACAGGGGAGGAGTAGCGCGCGACTACTGCGTCGTACAGCTCCTTAGCGGTCTTATGCTGGCCGAAGTGCTCGCGCTCATCTACCGGCAGGTGACTGCGAACGGCTAGGCGGGCGTGAGCATCACGAGTCTGCCACTGGGAGCGAGCAGTACTGTCAGCAGTAGCGGGAGGTGCGGGAGCAGCGCCTGACGTGTGGTCGTACAGTGAGACATCGTCCTTGGCAGTGATCTGGAGGAACAGGTGGAGGACATCAAGCCAGACATCGAACTTAATCGGGCGACCCTCGGCGTCAAAGGTGAGAACAGTGGGACTGGCCATAGTGGCAGGAGCAGGAGTAGCAGTAGTAGTAGCAGTAGAAGCAGTAGTAGCAGTAGGAGTAGCAGTTGCAACAGTAGGTGCTGCAGGTGGGGCGGCGCGGCTCGGTCAGGGCGGTGCGGTTCGGGCGGCGCGGCTCGGTCAGGGCGGCGCGGCTCGGGCGGCGCGGCTCGGGCAGGGAGGGCGGCGCGACGGCGGGCCTATCGACGGTGCGCGGCGGCGCCTAGGGTGCGGCTGCGCGTGGGCCGCTGCTGCGTTCGTGCGGGCGGCGGCGATCGTGCGGGCGGCGGGCTAGCACGAACGGCGGCCTAAGGGGACGCGGCGGCGGCACGGGGCGGTCGACGAGCGGCTGACGGGCCGCGCTAAGGGCCGCGCGAGGCCAGAGAGGGCGGCGCGAGCAGCTAGGGGGCCGCGCACCTAAGAAACAGGCCGCGCGCGGGCGGCTAGCGGGCGACGCGACCTAAAAACGGGCCGCGCGCGCGGGCGTCTAGCGGCTGCACATGGGCAGCTGAAGAGAAAACGAGGGCGCACGAGGGCGCACTAGGAGCGAGGCGCACGAGGGCGCTAGGAAGGACGGCGCACGAGGGCGCTTCGAGCGGAAACGGTGGGCCCTTAGGAACGGTCCTAGGTTCCTAACCTAGGCTCGTAATACCATGTCAGAATGAGAGAAGTGAATGAACTAGGCAACATTGCAGTACAAGTATGAAACCCTAAAAGTTGTGTACCCCCTATAGGCTAACCCACTATAGCCTACACAGCAATAACACATATATAGTGTTTGACACGCCGCAATGGCTAACTATCTTTTCGGGATTGAAGAAGGTCGTGCGCAGCAGACCGGTGGCCGACGCAGAACCAACCGACGAGCTAGCGTGCCAGAGTCAGGAGATGAGTTAAGGAGCATGAATAGTGCCGCAAAACAGGCAAGAAAGGCGAGGATGGAGTTGCTGCGGCAAAGACGACGTCAAAGCAGGGGAGAGCAGCAGCAAACAATGGCGGCAGATGATACCACTAACCGTACCTTTCCCTCCATGCCTCCTTCGCCGGCTGCCGACATTGTCGATTCATCGGCTCAAGAGACCGCACCAACATCTGAGCTTCCTTCGTTCGCAGGCGATAACCAAGGAGATCAGCCGGCACCTTTGGACGATAATCAACCGGAAACAGATGCCACACCAGAAGTGTTCAATGACCAGTTCGAGGTGGAGGACGGGAGTCATATCAGCTACAGGGAGGATTCCGGGGATGAGGAGGGTACGGATATTGGCCAGTGCTCACATCCCACCACTACGCCGACAGATCCAACGCTATCCAACGCAGCTGCGCAACAAGCGGCCAAGATGCGGCAACGGCGGAAGGAGATTCTTAGAAGGAAACGGGATGCAAGGGTTGGAAGGGCCAGGGTCTTCGACAACAGGGCAACAACCGACCCTCAGTTGCCAACGCAAGAGAGCCAAACATAACGTCATCCAACACTTCAACACCGTGTTCCCCCCCCCATGGGTCGGCGCAACGAAGCAGCGCGAAGTGCGGACGTCACCAGCGATCCGGAGACGGGGTTGGGTGGGTTGGGCAATGCGGATGTTCAGCAAGGGGCTGGGGACCAGATGGAGGAAGGTGCGGGTATAGTTGTTCGCACGGGACAGGATGGCCCCAGGTACAAGAGGAAAAAGAAGATTACAGTCTTCATCAAGCAATGGGCACGGTGTTATGTCCCCACATGTCGTTTTGGTATCTACAGCAGCCAAATGGTGGAGTCCATAAACAACGCTATCAAGAAGATCCGTATTCTGCTCGTGTCGTACGTAATGGCGGGCATGTGGGATTGGATGGCAAAGATCTACTCGGATGGACAGCGGAGATCTTTAAACTGGCACCATACATTGACGGTCGAGGGTGAGAAGCGGTTTGATCTGAAGAAGAACCGAAGCCGTGGTTACAGGGTCACACGCAACGGTCCAAGCAATGCAAAGGTTCGAAACAAGGGGTCCCTGCTGGATCTACGTCCTTTATCCTTCAACAATGATGTCAGAGAGAGATTGTGCGAATGCAAAAACTGGCAGGAGTATCGGTTCCCATGCTCACATGCATTTGCACACTTACGGGAGAGGGGAATGGATCCTATACCCTTGATTTCCAGGTATTGGAAGGCCGACAACTGGAGAAGGACTTATGGGTCTCTCATTCCGTATTCGTGCGTAGACACGGTTATTGCTGAAAACAAGCCAGTTGAGGAGGGAGTTTGTGATCCTCCTATTTTTGTGCAGAGAGGAGCAGGGCGGCCACAATCAAACCGAAGGCGTGAAGCTCCTAAACGGAGATACAAGTGTGGCGACTGTGGCTCGACGGAGCATACCAGGAAGAAATGTAAGGGGAAATATGGGGGGTCAGTGGTGTATCACGTAGCAAACTAGTGGTACGGGGATAGTTTGATTGCTGACTAATAACTACTGCATAAGAATCTTAGGGAATGTGGTACGTTGCATGCTCTTTGCTACTAGGAGAAACGGAGCAACAACTTGCCATTAGTTGAAGATATATGAAACTCCATATGACCGGCCATAAACATTACTGCCTTTGACCAGTAGTACGCACACGCGCAATCCACCGGTCGTATTCACACGCGCAAATGACGCGCGCATATGACCGGTCATATGTGCACGCGCATATGACCGGTCATATACTCACGTGCACAAGACAGGTAGTTAACGGACGAGCATATGACCGGGGTGCGGTTCAGCATGAGCCCACTGGCGTACCGGCGTGTCATATGGGAGGATGTGTGCGCCCTGGCAGAAGGACGGCTGATCGGCGAGCTCACGACAGCTGGGCATGAGATCCCTCCTGGGAATGAGATTAGGAAACCACCTGAGCTTGAGGTGATTGGTGATGAGGTGGAGGATAGGGAGTGGAGAGCGGAGATGGCAGAACGGATGCATAGGCTGGAGGTTCGCAACGAGAGTCAGGCAGTGGCTATTGCCAAGCTCGAGAGACAATTGCGTGAGCTGATGCTTTCCCGTACTCCACAGCCTGACGTTGGCGGTGTCGATACAGGGGAGGGACATGGTGATGTGGGAGGGGACGCTGCAGGAGAGGGACATGTTGGTGTGGGAGGGGACGCTGCAGGAGAGGGACGTGTTGATGTGGGAAGGGACGCTGCAAGGGAGGGACATGGGGATGCGGGAGGGGATGCTGTAGGGGAGGGACATGTTGATGTGGGATAGTAGTGCTTATTCATATGCTATAGTTTCACTAAACCATGCATTAATCTAATGAATTTGTTTGCTGAACTTGTGCAGGGGCGGCGGACGACATCATCGATGCCTTTCTGCACAATAACTGATGAGACGTATGGTCAACATGACATTGCGTGATCCGTACACATCAAATCTACGTTATATCATTGTAGGCATGCGTAGAGGTCGACATGCCTAGAGATACAATAAACCCTATGACTGCTACATGAACGGAACGCACAGTGTTATATAGGTATAATGACAAAACAACGGTAGTGAACGTCTCTAGAATTTGTTATTATAGTTTTATATTAATAAAACAGATCACACACAGATTCGAGCATCACATATGCGCGCTCATATAGGTAAATGCGCGGATTTATATGACCGCGATCTTACATGACCGCGTCTGATTGGACGCGCAAGGTCAAAAAGTGCTTCGCGCATAAAGTTGACCAATCAGACGCACTCTGTAATTGGTCGCGCTTGTGGACAGTCGTGCAACTGAGTATATGATCGGGGAATCATATTACTATGCGCGGATTGGTCAAGAACTGGACCAAAAAAGAGCGCGACTGTTCGCCCAAGATGATCGTGTTGATTATTGTCGTTTATTCGAACGGTGACGTGGCCGCCCTCGCGCACGTCACTCAGCCGAAAATTTCGGGCGGAAAATAGTACGCCACGTTTTCGCGGGAAGAGACACGTTCGACGTAAGAATTTCAGGGCTAAAAACCGGTTTTGGGTAATGTGCCAGAAAAAAAAAAGCCAGAGGAAACCTCTGGCAAGACCACTCGAGCAATTATCATCGAATTGTCCGACCACGGTAGCAATTCGAGGCCACGTGTGCAGCGGCAAATCACCATTTCCGGATCTGGAGAAATTCTCTCAAGGACTAGGCATGGGGGATGGATGGGGTGGGGAATGGGGATGATGGAGAGCTGAGCTGGCCAAAGAGGTACAGTAGAAGCTGTGGCGATTAGGTGGTGCTGCAGTGGAATGACAACGCCAGGGCAGGCACCACACCGCAAGCCAGCGAGTCGTCGATTCTCGTTCAACTCTCTTTGCATCAATGACGGAGAATCCAGTCCAGAGCTCGTGCTCCACCTCCCCTCCTTGCCACGCCTCCCGTTCCCGCGCCTCCAGAAACATGGGTACCGACATTATTCGCGTAGAATACGACGACGATTAGGACAAAGAACGAGTTGCGTCGCGTAGCGACGGTGGCTGATAAGCCGACCCACTACTACTACTAGCCCTCAGCCCTCAGTCTCAACTCGCATGAGCGAGCAGCACCCTGCGCGCAGTCTCCTCGTTTCAGCCGTGTGAGTCGCCAGAAATGGGCAACCCCTTGTCGCGCACTCACCGCCAGCAGCGACGCGATCTCGTCGACGCGTCACCTTCGCGCATCCGTCGCGCGCTGCGGATGTGGCAGACGTTGGGGAGGGGACCCGCTGTTTGTTCAGGCACCACACAGTTGTGATCGTTCCGAGGGCTATAAAGATCCATGGCCCGTCCTCCCATGGACATCCCATCCAAGTGCTTCGAATCTTCTCCCTTAGATCCAATCGGGAATCAGGCAACTTGCAGATCGCTTTGATTTGAAACCAGCGGCTTCTCAGAGTTGAGTCGATTATGGCGACGACGAAGGTCCTTGCGGTTCTGATTCTTGTTCTCCTCGCCACCTCATGTGAGCTCGCTCCCACTCTTGCTTCGTCTCTTGTTTTCCATCTCTTGCTCCACGCGTCCCTCTGCTCTCCTCCATCGGTTCTGTTTCTTCTCTAAAACGATTCTTAACGAGCAAGCGTGCCGTCTTATGCATGTGCAGGTGCCTTTGCTGCTCCTGGTAACGGCAAGGGGAAAGGCGGAAACGGAAAGGGAGGCGGCAAGGGAAATGGCGGCGGAAAAGGCAACGGGAAGGGCGGAAACGGAAAGAGGAATGGCGGCGGTATTCTTGGCGCGCTGACTGGCGGAAACTCGACGGGCGGATGGGGCGCGGGCGGCATATTCTCGGGCCTCACCTCGCTCTTTGGCAACGGCAGCCTTCCGAGCGACCTGGGGGGCATCTTTGGGCGCAAGGGCGGGAATGGGCAGGGCAAGGGGAATGGCGGAGGCGAGGGGGACGGTACGGAGAGTGTTGGCCCTGCAGGCGCGAATGAGGCAGTGATTGGGACGATGGGGGTCGGCAACGGCAAGGGGCAGGGCAACGGACAGGGGCAGGGGCAGGGCAAGGGAAAGGGGAATGGCGGAGGTAAGGGAAAGGGGAAGGGCAAGGGCAAGGGGAATGGCGGAGGTAAGGGGAAGGGAAACGGGAAGGGCAAAGGAAACGGACAGGGGAATGGGCAGGGGTGTGAAAATAAACAAGGAATGAGAATGACTAAGGGAATGTTGGGGTACAAATACAAACCCTAGGAAAACTATACCCCATATGTGCTATCCCACTATAGCCTACAGTATCTATGTCATAGAAATCTGACACACCCCCATAGGCAAAGTGGGGGAGAACAAGGGGTCACAAGACCAGTCAAGCAAAACAAAACAAGCTCAGGGTGGATCACAAAGTCACCACACATTCCGAGCGCAAGTTCAAGGCCACAAGGCCAATTCACATGCAGGAGTACACATATATATATATAAAGGCTAGACAAGCAAGAACAGGTATATATATATGTAACAGTACAAGCAAGGTCAAGAGGTGAGCAAGTGAGGTAAGGTAGGCACAAGGCCCAGCTGAGTACAGAAGCGCTGATGGTCACAAGGCGCAAGCGCCTTGGTGAAGATATCAGCAGTGTTGGCCTCAGAGGCCACGTACGCAAGACGCAGCTGACCACGCTGCTGCAGCTCACGAGCAAGAAAGTAGCGGAGAGCAATGTGCTTCGTTCTGTGCTCCAGTCGCTGCTCCCGACACAAGGCAAGCATGGCCTTGTTGTCTACGTACAGCACTGGAGGAGAACGAGGCAGCTCTCCGAGGTCAGTCAGCAGGTAGGTGAGCCAGCGAAGCTCCTGTGCAGCCATGGCTCCTGCGTAGATCTCAGCCTCACAACTGGAGCCGAGAACAGAAGACGAGCGGGTAGCCCGCCACGAAACAGAGTCGGAACCAAGGCTGAAGGTGTAACCCTGTGACGACCGCTGCGTAGCCTGGTCGTCAGCCCAAGAAGCGTCTGCGTGCCCAGTAAGGACCACTGGACTCTGCCCTCCAAGCACAAGCCCCATGCCCGACGTACTGCACAAGTAGCGCAACACCCTCTTCGCTGCAGCCATGTGCTCCGGTCTGTGTCTCCCAGGAGCAACATAGCGTGCAAGAATGCTAAGAGGGTATGCAAGGTCAGGTCGTGTGCAGGTCATCAGGTACATGAGGCAGCCAACAAGCTCTGGGTACGGGCCACTCGACTCTACGGACTCATCCGAAGGCAGAGCTGAGAGCGAGTGGCGAGTAGGCAGAGGAGTGGCCTGAGGCGAGGAGTACGTGAAGCCAAAGCGCTGAAGGACCTGCTGCACCATGTGTGACTGAGTCAGGGTAATGGTGCGGCGTGCTCTGTCCCGAGTGATCTGCAAGCCAAGGTAGCTGCGCAGTTCACCCAGGTCAGTGCACGTGTGTCTCTTCTGCAGCTCGGACTTCACGTGGGCTAGTCCAGCAGTGTCAGCTGTGGCAAAGACCAAGTCGTCGACGTACACGAGGATGTAGAACGGCGGCAAAGAAGTGTCGGTGCGCAGAAACAGCGACGGGTCGGCAGTAGAGGGAGCAAACCCAAGAGCCGCAAGTGTAGTCCTCAGTGTGTCGTGCCACTCACGCGGTGCCTGGCGGAGACCGTAGACTGGCCGCCGTAGGCTCCACTGGGTGCCAGGAGGAAAAGACCCAGTGAAGCCAGGTGGGCGACGCAGCCAGATCTCCTCGTGCAGGCTGCCCTGCAAGAAAGCAGTGCTGAATTCAAGAGAGTGTAGCTCGTAGTCACGGTGAGCAGCTACGTGCAGCAGTACCCGAAGAGTGGTCATCTTCGGGGTGGGAGAGAAGGTCTGAAAGTAGTCAACTCCCTGCCTCTGACTGAAGCCACGAGCCACGTAACGCGCCTTGAAGACAGGCGGAGAACCCGGCGGTCGCTTCACCCTGAAAATCCACATGCCACTAACGATGTTCGCCCCAGGAGGGGGAACAGCGTCAACGTAGGTGCCTGTGGACTTCCAGGAAGCCATCTCTGCGTCCATAGCTGCCTGCCACTGAGAGGAGTAGGGACCCTCTATCGCCTCCGCGTAGGAGCGCGGAGTCGGGATGTCAAGTGCATCCGGGTCTCCCTCAGGGGTAAGCAGTACGGACACGAGATGAGGTGAAGCAGCGGCCAAGTACTGGAACTCCTCCTGCCTGTCCTCAAGGACGTCCGTGCCAAGGGCACACTCACCCCCGACGGACGGAGGACAGACAGACTCAGACTCAGCAACAAGACTGGCGACGTAGTCTAGGCGACAGCGAGCAGCAAAGTCGACGAGCTCAGCAACTAGGGCAGACGCAGCAGTGGACTCAAAGGAAGGGTCAGTGACAGCAGTAGCAAGGAGACGTGTGACAGTAGGACTGGCAGCACGAAGAGAGTCCGACTCCGGGTCGGCAAGAGCAGGAAGAGAAGACTCAGGAGGAGAAGGCAAAGGGGCACGCAGAGGAGCAGTGGACGGACGCAGAGACATCCGGTGCGTGCCAGGGACAGGAGGAGGACGCTGACGCGAACCGCGACCACTAGTGCGAGCAGCACGGACAGGCGACACAAGGCGAGACGCAGGCTCACGACGCTCAGCAAGACCTCCAGTAGGACCAGTGTAGGGAGACGGAGCAGGTAGTGGGGAGGCCGGCTGTAACTGTAACTGCGACGGGACAGGCTGTGGACACTCTAAGGGAGGAGGAGGACAAGTAGAAGGCGGGAGACCAAGAACCTGCTGAAGGAGCGGAACGAAGTACGGCCGAGGCCGCGCGGCAACTCCAGACACAGCAGGGACAGCACCAGTACCCCCAGCGGCAGCACCAGCGCCAGCAGCACCTCCAGCTCCAGCACCTCCAGCTCCAGTACCTCCAACAGCACCTGCAGAACCCACAGCAGGACCGCCTCCAGGACCGACAGCAGTAGCCTCCGCGCCAACACCCGCAGCAACTCCAGCTCCAGAAGTACCCTCAGGTCCAGCAGCTCCAGTACTCCCAGCACGAGCACCTCCGGGACTTGTGGCACCAGCTCTCTTAGCAGCAACAGAACCCCCAGTACCCGCAGCACCTCCAGCTCCAGCAGCTCGCCTCCAGCGCCGGGCAAACCACTCACGCAGCTCCTGGGGAGGGAGTGGCTCCCGGCGAGAAGGAGCACCCGGAGAACCGCCAGGCAAAGCACCACCAGGCGTAGCACCCCCAGGCTCAGTACCTCCAGGCGTAGCACCCCCAGGCTCAGCACCCCCAGACGTAGCACCCCCAGGCTCAGCACCTCCAGGCGTAGCACCCACACGCTCAGCACTCCCAGAGTCAGCACCCACACGCTCAGCACCCCCAGAGTCAGCACCCCCAGGCTCAGCACCCTCAGCAGCACCAGAGTCACCAGCGACCTCGACAGGCTCAACAGCGTCTACCTGGGACACACCTGAAGGGGCAGGACCCTGAGGGGGGAGGGGGTCTACCGGGGGGGGACCTGGTACAAGAAAGAGCGGTGGCGGGGGGAGGGACGGAGTGCGGTAGGGGAAGAGGCGGTAGTAGGGGACCGACTCGTCGAACGTGACGTCCTGGGAGGACAGAACACGGCGAGAGGTGGGGTGGTAGAACTGCCACCCTGGCGCGTCATGGGGGAAACCCAGGAAGACGCAAGGAGCAGCACGAGGGGACAGCTTGTCCGCAGACAAGTCGCGGACAAACGCCCGAGATCCCCAGACACGGAACGCAGACGCATCGCCAACCTTCCCCGTCCACAGCAAGGCTGGGGAGGTCTCCGGCATGGAGACCCTGGGCTGAAGGTTGATCTGATGCGCCGCGTACCTAACCGCAAACGGCCACAGAAAATGGGGGGCAGCCGCATGATCATGGACGTACGGGCGACGTCCATGACCATGCCAATGCGGCGCCTCTGTCAGAGTGCAGACGCAGAACAGGAAAGTCCGAGCCGAAGCTCTGCCTGAGCTGGAGACGAGCTGCGCGGATCCAGTCGATCAACACCGCAGTGACATCACCCTTGCTGCGCAAGGGGAAGACTGTGGTGTAACGCGAGTAGTCGTCAACCACCAGCAGGAAGTAGCGCTCGTGACCCTGTCCACGGACGCGGGCCGGGCCCCACACGTCCATGTGAAGTGTCTGCAGCGGGGCCTCTGTCGGAGGAAACTGGGAGGAGTGAGGGGCAGCCCGCTGCCGTCCCTCGACACAGGGGACGCAGGTAGGGCCAGGCCCCGGAGGAAGGGGAGGGAGGGACCGGGGAAGACCTGAGACAAAGACACGGGAGGCCATGCTCCGGAGACGAAGCAGGGAGGGGTGACCAAGGCGGTGGTGCCAGAGGAGAGTCTCGTGAGACAGGAGGCGACACGAGCAGGGGGCAGACTCAGGACCAGACCTGGACGCTGCAGCAAACACCTGACCCGACGCAGCTACCTGACCAGACGCAGTGACTGGAGGAGACGCAGTGGTCAGTGTGTACAGGCTCGACCCCGGCCGACGTGTAAACGTGGCCAGGTGTCGGCCTGTCCGAGCGTCCGTGCAGTGGGTCACCCGCTGACTTGCAGGAGTGAACTGGTGAACCCCCGCATCCTGTAGGTCAGCACCACTCACCAAGTTCGTAGAGAACGAGGGGAGGTAAAGACCAGACAGGGTGCCAGAGGGGGCCGCCGGGCACGGGAGGACAGTGGAGAAGTGAGCAAGGACAGGACCCCCAGAGGGGTCTGCCAGAGAGACTGCAACTGGCCGGCCAAGCGGCGTGAGTGTGGTGCGGTCTCGAAAGAAGGAGTGAGAAGCCCCCGAGTCAAGGGTGAAGGTGTGGGAGGCCGAAGCCGACGCAGAACCTGAGAGAGCAGACTCACCAGTACCTGAGGGAGCAGACGCACCTAGAGCAGCAGCCTCGCTAGCACCTAGAGCAGCAGCCTCACCAGTACCTAGAGCAGCAGACTCAATGCTCGGGTCGGGCGGAAAGCACCGGTAACAGTCAGCCTCATCACTAATAGTCACAGTATACATGGCAGCAAGAATAGCATCAAAGTCAAGGTCAAAGACAGCTACACCCGCCCTAGACAGCTCACCCCAGCGGGGGATCTCAGTGGCCTCAGGGAACTGGTGACGCCAAGCGTCCGTCAGGCGGCCAAAGCAGCGCTGGGTGGAGTGCGCACCCCAGCACTGCTCACCCGCGCGGTCGCCGGTGCGTAGGACGTAGGTGCACGGACCAGTACCCCCACCCCGCTGGCGTGCAGCGTACCACTCACGGAGCTGCTGAGGGGGGGGGATGTCACGAGTGCGCTGCTGCTGCTGCTGCTGCTGGCGCTGACCACCACCGGAGCCGACCCTCTGCGTAGCACCACCCCGACCCGCTCCACCTCCTCCTCCGCCGCCTCCTCCACCGCCGCCACCTCCGCTCCCACCGCCACCGCCGCCGCCGCCTCCGCCTCCACTGCCGCCACCGACCCCTCCACCCCCGCCACCACCCCCTCCGGCACTCCCACCCCCTCCACCGCCTCCACCGCCGCCTCCACCGCCCCCGCTAGCTCCTCCAGTGCCCCTGCCCCCCTTGCCCTTGCCAGGGCGGCGTCTCCCGCTAGGGGTAGACGCCGCACCGACCGACTCAAGCCCAACGAGGTCGGCCGCAGCAGCAGAGGCAACAGAGGGCAAAAGGGGGGAGGGGGAACACCCCTCAAAGACGGGAGTGCGAGGGTCACCACGAGAGGCTCCTACAGCTACTATGCTCTTTTCTGCTGCTAGGAGGGCCTTCTCGAGGAGATCAACGGTGAGAGTGGTGGGGCAGACTGTGAGGAAGTGGTCCCTGACTACGCGAAGGGAGTCAGGGAGCCGGGTGACTATGTAGTAGAGGGTGATGTACATGGGGGGGGGGTTCTTGGCGCAGAACTCAGCAGGAAGGGCAGCGCGGTAGCGAGTGTCACTAGTGCGGAGGTGCGTAATGAGGTCAGCGACTGTGGGAAAGGCAGCAAGGTCAGGGAAGAGGTACGGTAGCATGAGGCGGCTCAGTGCAGCAGTGGCAGGGGAGGAGTAGCGCGCAACGACAGCGTCGTACAAGGTGTGAGCACTCTTGTACTGGCTAAAGTGTGCGCGCTCAGAGGTAGGCAGGTGGCGACGCACAGCAAGACGTGCAGCAGCATCGCGCGTGGCCCACTGTGAGCGAACAGTGGCGTCAGCATCAGCAGCGGGGGCAGGGGAGGCACCAGAAGTGAGGTCAAAGAGGGAGAGGCCGTCTGCTCTGTCGCACTGTAAGAAAAGCTGCAGGTCATCTATCCAGACGTCAAAGTCAATGGCCCGACCCTCAGCGTCAAAAGCGAGGACACTAGGGGTAGCCATGACAGCAGTAGACTAGTAGCGCAAACAGTAGGGTGAGGGCAGTGCTGTGAAAGAGGCGCTGCTCTTACCGGACAGGGCGGCTCGGGTGGCTCGGTTGCAGGGCGGCTCGGCGGCTCGGCTGCTCGGCGGCTCGGCTGCAGGGCGGCTCGGCGGCACGGCTGCTGGGCGGCTCGGCGGCTCGGCTGCTGGGCGGCTCGGCGGGTCGGCTGCTGGGCGGCTCGGCGGCTCGGCTTCTGGGCGGCTCGGCTGCCGGGCGGCTCGGGTGGCTCGGCTGCAGGGCGGCTCGGTGGCGTGGCTGCTGGGCGGCTCGGCGGCTCGGCTGCTTTGCAGTTCAGCAGCTCTGTTGCTGGGCAGCTTGGCGGCTCGGCTGCTGGGCGGCTCGGCGGCGCGGTTGTTGGGCGGCTCGGCTGCTGAGCGGCTCGGTGGGGCCGCTGAGAGGGCTGCGTTCGGGGCCGCTGGGAGGAGGCGGCGGGGCCACTGAGAAGAGGCGGCGGGGGCGCAATCACGGTAGCAGCGGCGGCGGCGGCGGCGGCTGTCTCAGCAGTAGCCGCGGCAGCTGTGACGACAGCAGTGGCGGCAGCCGCCACGGTAGCAGCGGCGGCAGCGATCACGGCAGCAGCGGAGGCGGCAGCAGCAGCACGCGCTACTGCAGCCGCGAGAGGGCGGCGACGAGGCCGCAAGGAGCGGCTGCAGGGCCGCGACGGGCTGCGACGCAGCCGTTAAGGGCGGCGGGGGGGGGGTCCGCGAACGACGGCGACGGGGCCGCGAGAGGGAGGGCCGCAAGGGGCCGCTGAGGGCGGCGCGACTGGCTGTGCAGGGCGGCGCGACGGGCCGCTAGCGGGCGGCGACGGGGTCGCTAGGGGCCGTGAGAGAGGGTGGGCCGCCAAGGGCGGTGCGACGGGTCGCTAAGGGGAGAGCGGCACACAGGGCGCGCCTCGGGCTGGGGCGACTCGATCGCCGGGCAGGAAAAAAAAAATTTCAGTTGGTGGGCCCTAGGAACAGTTCCCACAGGGGAACCTGCTCTATACCATGTGAAAATAAACAAGGAATGAGAATGACTAAGGGAATGTTGGGGTACAAATACAAACCCTAGGAAAACTATACCCCATATGTGCTACCCCACTATAGCCTACAGTATCTATGTCATAGAAATCTGACAAGGGGAGCGGGCAGGGGAACAGTACAGACAGTGGTAGCCCTGCTGGCGTGGCGACAACTGCCAGCTCGCGTGTGATGGGGATGATGGGGGTCGGCAACGGCAAGGGGCAGGGCAACGGGCAGGGGAATGGGAGGGGGCTTGGGTGGGGTAAGCGCGGGAAGAGCGCGGGTGGCGTGTTGGCGCAGCTGAGGGGCAGCAGTGTGGCGGCTGATGCGCTGACAGCCCCTGGCGATGCCAACGCCACTGGCGTCCTTGAAATCACCCTCCTCCAGTGAGTCCTCCGCCGCTCTTGCTCACTTGATGAATCCCAATAAACGCCCCGTTTTGCAAGGGCCATCCCTGTTTGCCTCACTCCATCCATCTCATTCCCCTTCATTTCTGGGTGTGGGCAGGAACGGCACGGACTACGACGTGGCCTTCACGGCGCGCATCTCCCTCTCCACTGACGCCGCGCCCACGGCGCTCACTCTCAACAGTGGTAGTGCCGCAACGACCGGCGCGGCTCTGTTGGACTTTTCCACGGCCACGGGCACTGACGGCGCATCCCCTCCTGCATGGACCAGCACGGCCGCGCCCTCCCCTGGCAGCGGCCCCATGGGGCGCGCGTGGGGCCGCCTGCAGCACGCGGTGGGGCGCTCTGCGCGCGTGGCAGGGCTGCACACCTTCACTCTCACGGGCGTGTGGCGCGCTGCTGCCACCGTGGCTGCTGCGGACGGCGTGCAGACGGTGAAGGACGTGGCGCTGGCGGTTGTGGCGCAGCCCCGCGCCTTCTATGCCCTTGTGGCTTCCCCCGGGTTTGAGGCCGGCGCTGCTAGGGGTCAGTTCCAGAAGGCACCCAAAGGATGGGCGTTCGGCCTCAGGAACTGAAGTGTGAAGGGAGTCGGAGGTCCTGGAGTGAGAAGGAGCTAGGATGTGTGTGGGCTCCAGGCGGTGGGCAGGGCGCTACCGAGATGGCAATGCCTTGACCTTTATTGAGCTTTTCACAGAGTCTGTTGTTAGAGGGCCTGCTCCTGACATGAGGATGGGGATGTGTGGCTGTTTAGCTGCAGCAGTCCTTTGCAGCTAGGAACATAGGGCAGGCTCTAGAACAACAGGTTCTCAGTTGACATGTTTCACTTGTTGAATTTACCGTACCTGAATGTTGCAGTTCAAATGACAATCCCAAAACAACGACACAATTCTAAACAGCAAAAGAATGTAAACACTTGGGCGACTGTGCAAGGAAACTCCCTTGTGCGAATGTAAGCTGCTGTCGCCACCGCTGCAGCTGCTGCCACCGCCACGGCAGCTAGTGGCGCTACCACTGCAACTAGCCGCCGCCACTGGGCTAGTGCCGCCGCTTACTGCAGCCACTGCTATAGTCGCTGCTGCCCCTGCACCAGCCGCCACAGCCAATCCAGCTGTAACACCTCGCTACCAGGGCTAACTTTAGTAAAATGACCCGTCTGATGTCAAGACCAGGTCCTGGCTCCTATAAAGCTAGCAAGCAATGTCCTACCAAAATATGATTAGGGAAGTCAGGTACCAGCCCTAGTGGTCCCGCCAGTAGAATAGGGTGTTGTGAAGACTAAGGTTTCCGGTTTGAATCTTGGTGCAGACATCGTTCGAGAGTTTTGCCTTCAGACGAAAAAGACTCGATATCTGCAGTCTCAGACGAACTGTATAAGGCTGTCTGAGAAATCAGATGAATAGAAAAAGGTTCTCTTCAAAATCAGACAAAATTAAACAGCATGTCTACGACATCAGATGAACCAGTACAAATGTGTTCAGAATCCAGAAATTCAGACCAAAAATGTCTGATAAAGTAAGCCATGCTCGCTACCCACTGGGTCAAAACGAGGGTTATATTTGAGGTGCAGCGGATGCACTCATACCCTTACATGTAAGCCCCACAGGTGTTACACTCGTCCCAACCTGGAGCCAACGTCCTCGTTGGGCAGGGAGTCGGCCCTCGCAAGGACCTCAACTTCGCTGGTGGGCCAAGCCCAGCAGCGGATCGTTCACTGGGTTCGCAACTAGCACATTCAATCGCTCGCAAGCGGAAAATGTGACCCAGCCGGGAATCGAACCCCAGGCACTGAGACCAATTGTAACACCTCGCTACCCACAGGGTCAAAACAAGGGTTATATTTGAGGCGCAGCGGATGCACTCATACCCTTACGTGTAAGCCCCACAGGCGTTACACCAGCCGCCACTAGAACCGCCCATTACACAGCAGCCAGAGCAGCCACCGCCGCTGATTGCCTCGACTGCTGCCGTGTTGCTGCCTGCTGGCACTCCTACCATAGCTGCACCCGCCAGAGCCGCCGCTACTAGAGCCGCCGCTAAAGCAACCACCATCGCCAGCCGCCGCTACAGCTACCAGTATCTTTAAATCTGCAACTACTGCCGTCAGAGCCGTCGCTGCTGCCTCGTAAATGGTCGCTGCTGCCTCTTCCTCAGCCGCCATAGCAGCCGCTAGCGCCGCCAATGCAGCTGCTGCCAGGAAAACTGCGAGTATCGCCCCCGGCAGCACTAGCAGCAGCATAGAGTGCAGTCCGTTAAATATAGTAAAGCACCTAACCTAGGAAATCAAGCAAAAACATGCATGCTATAATAAACATAAGATAGATAAAGCATAATATAGTAAAGGCAAGCAAGTGATGCCTTGCAAAGTTGTCCGGGAGAATACGGTACTCTCACATTACGCCACTGCGCATTCCAGTCATTGTTGCCTTGGCTGACCCTTCAGTAGGACTAGTCGTTGCCACAGCACCACCACTCTCCCGTGTTCGACGGCTCCCTTTGGGTTCCTCACCGGTTACTACACTCCCTCATTCTCTAGGAACTTGGTGGGTGTCAGTCACCTCCACGACCTCGGAGTAGTCACCACTTTCCCACTGGACGAGCTAGTTGACTCCTGCATAGCTGGTACCGTCATCACCCAGATATTAGGCATATATGTCTTATCTTATACACTAGGAAAATGCTTGGGTTGTCTTGTATTTGGGACGGTTTAGGGTGTCGTATAAGTCTTATTAATGGACAAAGAACCGTTCAGAAGATACCCCCTCGTCATAAGATAACCCCTTACAATACTGTTTAGAAGACACTGCCACACATACAGGTGTCTTATAATCAGGAACACCCATTTATAAGAGACACCCGTTTTAAAGACACCCCCCATCCTCTATTCAACACTATCTTATATCCGGGTGATGACAGTACCACTGGGATGCCTCTCGACTCTTTTCACAGGAAGCCAGACACTGGTTTGTACTCACTACACAAGCGGTCTGACCACTCAGGTCAGGTTAGGTCAGGTCGGGTAGCTACTGTGTCGTGCGACTGACGATCACTCACCCACCCGTGGGTCCTTGGAACTACCGTCTAGGTCACTCGTTCTTCCCACGTCTCAGTAGGATGGTACGTTACTGTTTGGTCTCAGGTCTCCCAGAATAACTCGCCCCGCTTCTTTGCTCGCCTGCACCACCGCGCACCCCCTGCGTCGAGGGTCGGCTGCCCCTCAGTCCTCATCGTTCCCCCCCACTACGGCACCCTTACAGACCCTGCACTTAAACGTCTGGGGCCCCTCCTCAGTACCTGGCCCATGTCAGAAGCGCTACTTCCTGATTGTGGTGGACGACTACTCCCGCTACACCACGTACGGCGGAAGGCCGACGTGCCTATTGTCCTTGAGCCGTAGCTACTAGTGAGGGGTGGCACCCAAGGCCTGCGTGGACTCCGTCTACACTCGGACCCTAGAGGTTGTCAAAGTGATAACTGCTGAATGAATTGACTAGAATGAGCAAGTACAAGGGTAGATATAGCAAACCTAACTCCAACACTAACCAAGGTGTACACCACCTAGACCAAACAATACAAACTATAACAATTATATTTTAACACCCCCCCATAGTCTAGGTGATGGCAGCCCTGTGGAAAGCAACATTTATCTCAGGGTGGATCACAAAGTCACCACACAGTATGAGATCAAGCAAGGGTCACAGCACCAGTTCACAAGAACAAAACAAATCTCGGAGTGGATCTCACGATCACCACACAGTCCGAGAACAAGTAAGAGGCCACATGGCCAGTCCACATGCAAGTACATAGCAAGTATAGAAGATGTAAGAATACAAGACCAGCATGGCAAGCATCCCTACAAAAGCAAGAGGCCACAAGGCCAGTCCACAAGCAGATATATAGTAAATATAGTGAGATGTAAAAGTACAAGACAAAGCATCTCTACGCATGCAAGTGAGGGCCTGTAGAGACAAGGCCCAGCTGGGTGTAGAAACGCTGATGGTCATAAGGTGGCAACGCTTTGGTGAAGATATTTGCAGTGTTGGCCTCAAAGACCACACGACGCACGAGTGCCTGACCACGCTGCTACAATTCTCGTAGAAGGAAGAAACGAAGCTGGATGTGCTTCGCCTTCCCAACCAGTCGGGACTCCTCGCACAACAGGACAGTAGACCTGTTGTCGGCGAACAAGACTAGGGGAGAGCGAGGCCGCTCACCAAGGTCGGTGAGGAGGAAAGACAGCCAGCGAAACTCCTGGTCGGCCATGGCCGCAGTGTACACCTCTGCCTCACAGCTGGAACTGGAGACTGATGATGCCCGAGTCGACCTCCACGAAACAGCTCCGGTCCCAAGGCTGAAGCAATAACCCTGTCTAGACCACAGCGACTCTGCGTCGTCGGCCCATGACGAGTCCAACCTGGAAGTGTAACTGACTACTTCCCTTCAAAGACAAGTCCCACGCCTGATGTACTCGCCACATACATCGCTACCTTCTTAGTAGTGTACCAGTGGGAAGGTTGGCATCTCCCAAGCGCAACAAAGCGTGCCAGGCGCTAAGAGGGTAAGCTAGGTCTAGGCGAGTACAGTTCATCTGGAACATGAGACAACCCACCAACACAGAATATCGACCGCTGGACTCAAATGGCTCGTTCGAAGGTGGAGACGTGAGCCCATGATCCACATCAAGAGGGGTGAGCTGTACCTTGGAGAACAGGAAGCGAAACCGCGTGAGGATCTGCTCGACCACATGCTACCGCGTCAGCGTAATGGTGCGAGCTGCCCTGTCCCTGGTGTAGGCCAAGGTGGCGCTGCAGCTCACCAAGGACAGTGCAAGTGTGTCTCCTTTGCAGTTCCTCCTTCATGGAGGCCAGCGCACGTCGGTCGGGAGTGGCGAAGACCAGGTCATCAACGTAAACCAGAACAAAGGACGGGGTCGAGCCACAGCGGACGAACAACGACGGGTCAGCAGACAACGGAAAGAAGTCAAGCACCGCAAGAGTCGTGCGAAGTGTGTCGTGCCACTCATGAGGAGCCTGGCGCAGGCCGTTGACTGGTCGACGCAGCTGCCCCTGGGTCCAAGAGGGAAGCAGCCAGTGAAGCCAGGCGGGCGACGTAGCCAGATCTGCTCATGCAAGCCCCCCTAAAAGATTGCTGTAGAGAAGTCCAAGAAGTGTAACTCGTAGTCACGCTGGGCTGCAATATGCAGCAACACCCAAAGAGTGGTCATCTTTGGAGTAAGAGCGAAGGTCTTGAAGAAGTATACCCCTTCTCGCTAACTGAAGCCTCTCGCCATGTAGCGCGCCTTGAACACCGGTGGTGCTTAAGACGGTCGTTTCACCTTGTAGAGCCGCATGCCACAAACGACGTTCCCCCCAAGTGGTGGGACATCGTTGGCGTAGGTGCCTATAAGATGCCATCTCTGCCTCCTCAGCAATTCGAGGGTCCCAAGACCGCCTCGGCGTGAGTGCGAGGGATCAGGTTGTCAAGGGCATCTAGATCCCTCTTAGAGGCAAGCAGCATGGCGCAGAGATGGGGAACAGCGGCCGCCAGGAAACCAAGCACGAACTGGGTGTCCTCGAGG